TTAACAGCAGTCGATTAATTGTAGGTCGCTGATATCCTATTTAAAGCCAAGCTAAGAGGTGGAATATTCGTACCGTTTGTTTTTTAAAAAGCGACCCGTTTAAGTGTTGGTTAATGCTTTATTTCAATGGACACGAGTACAAGTGTCACCTAATTAAGCCTTCTTTGATATCCAGGACAGCACAGCGAATAACTCCTCAGGATATTGTGACAACTTATCACTTTTGAAGACCAGTGTGCCCCCAATTTTATTTATTTATTAAACATATTGACCAAGTTTCTTTTTTAACAGCCACATTTCATGGCAGCCATATAAAAAAGACTCGCAAATAACAAATTAATTTTCTTAATAATAATAATATATAATAATAATAATTTTCTTATAATAAATATGTGCTATGTACATATGCATTAGACAAGCTCACCTACCAAGTTTGGTATCCCTAGAAGGTATGGTTCAAATGTTCTCGACGCTCATACAGACAGACAGACGTGCAGAGTAATAAGTCTTTTGTATTTTTATTCAACAAAGGTTGGTTAATTCAACAAAGAGTTTTATTTCCACAGTTCGCGTCTAGGGCAGCTATATGAAATAATGTATCTATGTTGTATAATAAATATGTGCTATGTACATATGCATTAGACAAGTTCACATACCAAGTTTGGTATCCCTAGAAGGTATGGTTCAAATGTTCGCGACGCTCATACAGACAGACAGACGTGCAGAGTAAAAAGTCTTTTGTATTTTTATTCAACAAAGAGTTTTATTTCCACAGTTCGCGTCTAGGGCAGCTGTATGAAATAATGTATCTATGTTGTATAATAAATATGTACTATGTACATATGCATTAGACAAGTTCACATACCAAGTTTGGTATCCCTAGAAGGTATGGTTCAAATGTTCGCGACGCTCATACAGACAGACAGACGTGCAGAGTAATAAGTCTTGATGATGATTTCGAGCAGCATGTGACACATTTTTGTAGGCATATGAGCTCAGCCACACCTGCCTCCGCCTGTTATATTCAGTTCGACTCTGGATTCGAAGGATTTACCCTACGGGCAGAGCGGGCTTTAATGGGTTAAGAGGGGCTCAGAGCGCGGCTCAAGCAACGCATTGAACTTGTTAGCTGACGTCGTTGTCGTCGTCCGTTACCGCCATCAGTTTTAAAGTAAACGTAAAACGAAGCGGTTCATAAAATTATAAAATCGTGCAATCAAACCTGAAGTCCAAGTGTAATTCGTGGGCCAGAATTAAGATCTGACTATCGCTTTGGTTGAGTGGCAATTGTGTGTGTTATTTGATTTTTTTTTGGTACTTTCGGTTTGTGTTGCTTTAATTACTTAATAACTGTCGAACGATGACAATTTATGGTCTATTAGTGCAAATCATAATCATTTGCAATTAAATTTTGCATTTGTGCGAGGAGCGAGCAATTGCCAAAATCCAAAGACTTAGCTTTGAGGTGTTTGGTTTCCTGGGCTTCGTTTCGATTGCCATGTGGCCGCCACGTCCCATCGTGCAGCAGGAGTGCGAGGAGTCTGAGGACGATATTGTCACCAAGGTAGGTCTAATCGGAGGGGCGCACGCACTTAACAATTTATTGCTAATTAATACGAAACAGCTGGCACTGAACGCTCGTGCCGAAGCCAGTGTTCGATTTAACATTGATTTAGTTTTTGTTTTTGTTTTTGTTTCGCTAATTAGCATTTTGGGGGGGGGGGGGGGGGGGGGGGGAAAAAAAACTGTAGTATGTAGAGTACAAAAAACGGTCAAACACAAATGTGTTGTGAAGGGAGCGCGCCGGTCAAGGTGGCGTGGAGCCATGGAGCTCTCAAATTTTAATAATAATTATGTGTGGGTCAGCAAAGATATTCACATGCAAAAATCATATCATAAATAATATGGTTATAGTATGTATATGTATTGTTGATGTTGTTGTTCATATATTTATCACTTTTGTGTGCGGTCGGTAATAAATTTGACAGCCCAAAAGCGGAAGCATTTCGATTCGTGTTTGCTTTATGAAGCCAAACAAGTCGATGCCTTTGCTGCTACTACTTAACCGTTTCTAGCAAAGAGTTACGCACCTAGACACCCATTAAGGCGCAATCGAATGCTATTGAAAATTGTCGGTCTGCTAAAACAAAGACCAACAAACCAGTTCGAACAAATTCTTGTTGACATTGTAATAAAGTAGAAGAAGCCTGCAATAATTTTTATTAAATAATTCTACAGCTTTGCTCAGACGCTCAAATAAATTGTACAATTTGTCATTTATATTCAAATCCATCAAACAGCTTAATCAAAAGTATACATAAATATAGTAATTGGTACTAACTGGTTAGTGTTAGCTTGAATTTGAAGAAGACGAATAATTTGCATAATTGTGTTCACATACGAGTACAATTTATGCTATCATTACAATACGTTACAACTTTATAAATTTTCAATAAAATTAAACTTTTTTTTGTGGTCAGACAGGCAAATAATTTGCATCCAAATTTAAAAAAAAATAAATTATAACTCCACACCTGCATTTCAACATTACAATCCAACACCTATATCTTGTTTACTTGTAAAATTGTACGAGTTTGTGGTCAGACAGGCAAATAATATGCATCAAAATTTAAAAGAAATCAATTATAACTCCACACCTGCATTTCAACATTACAATCCAACACCTATATCTTGTTTACTTGTAAAATTGTACGAGTTTGTGGTCAGACAGGCAAATAATTTGCATCCAAATTTAAAAGAAATCAATTATAACTCCACACCAGCATTTCAACATTACAATCCAACACCTATGTATCTCTTGCTTACTTGTAAAATTGTAAGAGTTTGTGGTCAGACAGGCAAATAATTTGCATCCAAATTTCACTCACATATCACTAGTACATATGTTATTCATATTGAAATCACGTATAGTTCTATATTTTAATACAACTGCAGGGTAATTAATTTTCTTAGCGTATTGGAATTTTATAAATGGGCAAAAAATGTGCATACAATAATCATTTATATTCAAATCAATAATATTTGAACATAACAAGATATTTCTCCATTACATAAGAGTTTTTAGAAAACCAAAAGTTGAGCTATTGAAATTAACTTTAGGAATCGCTGCCAAAGCAGACAGATTTTTGATGATAGACTTAAGTCATCATAGATTTTATTAATTAAAATTTATTTAAAAAAAATGGCACCTTAAATGAAAATAATCTTGGAAATTGGAAAGCCAATAAAAGAAAAACTAAATATCTTAAATATAGTCGAGATGATGTGTTGTCGTATTGTTTAAATGTTTTCTTTCTGCTGTTAATGGGAGATGATGCAAGCAGATGACTATGATTAATACATTTTAGAGTTTACGCTTTTTTCCAAAGATTCTTGAAGAATACTCAGGAAAGATAAAAGCCAATTACTGTTTCAGAGAAAAAATAAATATCTTAAATATAGTCGAGATGATGTGTTCTCGTATTGTTTAAATGTTTTCTTTCTGCTGTTAATGGGAGATGATGCAAGCAGATGACTATGATTAATACATTTTAGAGGTTAGGCTTTTTCCAAGGATGCCTAAGGAATATTCAGGAAAGATGAGCGTCAATTACTGTTTCAGAGAAAAAATAAATATCTTAAATATAGTCGAGATGATCTGTCCTCGAATTGTTTAAGTGTTTTTTTTCTGCTATTTTTGGGAGATGATGGCTTGATTAATAAATTTCAGAGTATAGGCTTTTCTCCAAAGATTCTAAAGGAATATTCAGGAAGGATGAAAGCCGATTGCTGTTTCACAGGCCAAGATCTTCTGTTCTCAATGGGTTTGCGTATTAGTTCTGCTTAAAGGCTTTGTCATAAGTTTTAAAACTCTGTTTGGTAAAATTGTTTAAATATTTCGATTCGTCATTTCTTGAAGAAAGACTAACAGAGTTAAGTGCGAGCTGTCTTAAGTATCGCTTAAAGCTAATACTTTGTACGAATCGAACAATGCTAAGAATAATGAATGGGTTGCTTTACAAGCATTGTTGGCAGCCTTCTAAACAGCAATTATGTTTATGGATATTCCAATTACTATACTTCAGCATCGATATCTAGAGTACTTATTCCAGCTGCCCAGCTGCACTGTACTTGAACGTATAATTGAAAGGGGGGGCTACTAGCCACTTGGATTTAGAGTGAATGTTGTGCCGCTTAAGGCCTAACTATGACGCAATCTGGGCTACCAAAAAATTTAAATTCGTGCACATTTCAGCTGCTCTTTTGAAATTGCACAACAATGGCCAGAGCTAGATTTGTTTGCCTATACAGCGCCACTAAATTGTTAGCCAAATTCAATTTCCAAATGCGGCCAACACGTTTTAAGCTGTGATCATGTGCCTTAAATTACTCGCAGTTAGCACTCGAGCAATATTTTCTGAACAGAAGAAGCAGAACAATCGATTTAAATGCAGGTTGCATTTTTTTTTTGTGTTCACTCTTCAAAAATATGTGCAACGTTGCTTTCTATTTTTTGCTTGAATGAAAATGTACTTTGTTTACTGTTTATTGCCTTCTTCCCTAGCAAACCATTACAAAGTTTTTGCTTACTCTCCTCGCAGATATAAGGTCCTTAAATCAATTGCAACTAGTTATCTGCTGAATCTCCTCTGAACCTCAATTTGTCTTGTTCTGTGATGATTTGTGAGGTCCAGAATGTATACTTTTTATTAGTCATCTGAAATAATGCGTGGAATTTCATGAAATTTAAGAATACCAGGACGAATTTTGCCAATCTTGTAGATACCATATTTCCTAAAATCTTCATAAGCAAAAGAGCAATTGAAGCTCATACAGACAGACTGAGCAGACTGGCAAGACTTTTCTATTCTATAGACGAGCTTTCTTAAGAGCGCACCAGCTCTGGTTGCAAACGAAATGTAAAAGGGTAGTAGGAAAAGGTAAATGGGTCGTGTATGCCTTCGATTGAAGGATTAAAGGATTAAGTGTGAGCAAAAACAAAACTTATGGCTTATTATTATATTCTTTATGATAGTTTGGAGAATTTTAATGCAATAATCTCAGTTCGTATTCAGAAAAGTCGTTCAAGCAGGGAGGAGACAGGAGGACAACTTATGACTAATTTCATGGACAATGGACATGGATTCTACAGAGGAGCAACTGCCCTACAATGCCCCTTACCCAGGCAGATAGTACCTCTCAGCGCTATTGAGCAGAACAATGAGTTGTTCGCATCTAAAGAATACTCGTATCACAACAATGTTAGCTTCTTACCAGCCCTCTGCTGCCACTATACGCTCCAGTATCTTAATTATTATTGTGTTCAGCGTTGCGGAACACGAATAGAAAATCGCAAGTCACAATTACAAGCGCTGTCAGCAAAAATGTTAACAAAAAACAAAAAGAAACTGAAAACTGAAAAGAACATAAACAGGATTGGGCAGCCAGTCTACGTTTTGGCTGCTTTTGGATGTTGTGTGCGTCAGCGAGAGGAGTGGCAGAACTTCCGCATATTTTGGTGAAACAATATGTTACAAAGTCAAAGATTTAAATACAAATCAACAATAATTGTTTGACAAAGCAACAGACACAATAAAAGAGCCAAAAAGTAGCAACGCAAATTAATTGAATTGAAATCATAAAAAAAGAAAGAAAATGTTAACGCTCCATTCGGCTTTTTGTGCTGTCGACGCTCATGGGCGTAGCCAAGATTTCATTTAGGGGACCAAGATATACTATATATTACTATATATGTATATATACATACTATATTCAGATAATAAAAGTGAACTTCATAAGCGCGTCCGTTTAATTGTCATCATGGAGAAGTCTGTCTTAATTTATTTAAACTATTCCGAAAGCACTTTAAAATTTATTTTCCATCTGAAACATAAAGCCAATATCTTCAAACAAAGAAGAAGTAAGTTTCTCTAAAATGCTTAATGGCGCTCTAGCTTGAGCTTCCTTTTTCGGTTTACAAGCTCTAAATCTAAATATTAGAATATGAGACTTTTATAAATATATAAAGACAATATATATATTATATAAAGACAATATATAAAAATTAAAATATAAAACAATATATATATAAGAAGAAAGTGCTTTAAAATTTATTTATCATAAGAAATTTTACCATAAGAAACATGCAACCCATATCTTCAAACAAAGAGGAAGTAAGTTTCTCTAAAATGTTTAATGGCGCTCTAGCTTGAGCTTCCTTTTTCGGTTTACAAGCTCTAAATCTAAATAATGTTTGTAGAATATGAGACCTTTATAAGTAAATTATATAGAGACAATTAATAAAAAATACGGTATAAAATAATATATATAAGATGAAGAAAAAATACATAGTAGGTACACATATACCCAGCATGACGAATCGAATTGCTGCCCACTCTGCTCGTTTGTCAGGCTGTTCGCCTGTTTGACTGTATGAACACGTAGAACATGCGAATCATAACAGTTAGGAACACCAAGCTTGGCATATGAACTTGTCTTATCCATGCGCAAAATAAGTATATTACAAACCTGATATAGCTCCAGTATTTTATATAGCTGCCATAGCACCGATCGTTGCAAAAATCACTCTTAGCAGAATAACTTTGTTGCTTGGACAAATATCGTAAACACATCTAGTATTTATGAGTCTCTTAAAGTGATATTCTACAGATTTATCAAAATCGGCTAACTGTAACATATACATGCGAATAGCTGCCATAGAAATTATTTGTGCCAGAAAGATCATTTTGGTTGAATTGCTGTTGCGAAAGCAAGAGTCGTTCTGGCATGTCTTTAATGTTCTACTCATGAGGGGGCTAAATCTTTTGCACCCCCCCCTTTGGTACGCCCATGCCGGCGCATGATCAGCCGCAATCCCAAAAGCCGCAGTTATTGCCAGCTGTGACGTGCTTGGCACACACACACACATATACACAGCTGTGCTTTGTAGCCCGCTTCTTCTTGCCATTCAGTGTAAATGTGGGGAGGTCAAGTTCAGGGAACACCATTTCCAGTTTAGTGTGTGTTGTTACCATTTTCGCAGTTTGTTTCCACTTTAGTTATTTTTATTGGATGTTTTTTGAATTTGTTATTTTTGAGTATTTGACTCACGTGCGCGACTCTGGGTGTCCGACAAGGTGTCTGACAGGGTCACCAAAAACTAAGACTGAAAGTAAAAATGAATTCGATTTATGCAAACGCCTGACATTATTTTTAATTACAGATACCTTCAATAGTTGGATTCTTGAACTTGGACTAATTAGGGGCGCCCAACTTTAAATGGCACGCTAAAATGTAAGGCTGAAGTCACAGTGGAAAACCAGAAACTATGGGAATTACGAATCATAATTTAAGCGCTTATTAGTCTTTAAATAAAATTTGTATATATATTTTTTGATATAAAATAAATGAACCTTTTATTCTGATGGCGGCAGTTTTTATTGAGGCTTAGTCCAGACACGAACGACACGACGAAGCTGTGCACAGTGACTCCAAAACTGTGAGCGGGCGGTTAGGTGAGTGGAATGCGATATCAAAATATTTGGTTTTTCTCTTGGGATATTAGTTTTCGACATTGAATGACTGATAAACAGAATAGAGCTGTGGATGATAGTTGTCCATGAACGTGAGTGGGCTTCGATTTCTTGAGCGGAGCTCCAACTACATTCACAACTCTTGCAAAAGCCCAAAAGCGTGAAAAGGATTAGAAAACTGCGAATGAAAGGCAAAGGGTGCAATTATAAGTACAGGTAGAAAGACGTAGAAGTGCAGAATCTGAAGGATAACACTATGGATATATCCGGTTATGCAGCTGGCAACATTCAAGTTCAGTGTAGTTTTTTGTTTGACTGCGTGGCCGGAAAACTCTGCCAAAAATCTTCCAAAATATGGAAGACCAACTACTAAGTATAGTAGTAGAAGTAGTAGTAGTAGTAGTAGTAATAGTAGTAGTAGCAGTAGTAATAGTAGTAGTAGCAGTAGTAATAGTAGTAGTAGAAGTAGTAGTAGTACTAGTAGTAGCAGCAAAATTAGTAGCAGTAGTAGTAGTGGGAGCTTCACTTTTATATTGACTTTAAAAAAGGTAAGCAAAAGGTTTCTTAATTTTGTAATTAAAATACAAACAAAGCTATATTTCAACTATATGGATTTGGTTTAAACCATCTGTCGATCACCAACAATTACCCTGAACTACATAAGTTAAGACCCCTGGCTACCCGGGTCTTCCCCAGTTCGTTGACCGTGAAGTTCGGATAATATGTTAATCGGTAATTTTGTTTTTTCTTTCCATTATATTTGCATTCCTTTGAATTGTATTTTATTAATATAAAAATCATCTAGCTGTATACGGTCTCTATATCTTAGTGCATGTTTTAGAAAGTTTACTAAATGCAGTCCAATTTGTTCCGTTTGGAAGATATATATTCTATCGCTTAGAATTGGTAGATCACATACCTCGTTTGAAATGTGAAGTAACACCTAGGTACGAGCCTTACAGATAAGGGATATTATTAAACAGTCAACCTGGGGATACAGTGTCCAGATTTGAGAAGTCACGCTTCAGAATAAAGCCTTACGTCTTATCAGTTCGTGGATCGACAGATACAGCGATCGTCTACTGGTTCATAAAAATAGGATGGCAAGGCCTCTCCTAGAAAACCGTCCAGTAACTCGATTAGAAAGGAGGCACATATTGGACCTGCTAGCTGTCTCCAGAGTATTCAGTCTTGTACTCAACTTTACATCATGGAGTAACATTTTTTTTTTGCACTTTACTGCATACTTTGTTGGAATTGAATTTTGATGCTCTGCTTGAACAATAAATAAATAACAAAATAAATAATGAACAATTTTTGAATCACAATTGCAATTCGCAAAAAAACTTGTGCTTCCAAAACCTGCAATACTAATATTAAATGGAGTCGAACAGAATTTCAAAGCAAGTTGGAATTTAATCGGCCTTCTCGGCCCACATCACCATTGTTTTGGGCATTTAATGTGCAGCCTAAAAGTATGCAGTAATTTTTAGTCGCCCGTCAAAGTGTAGAAGTGTTGCAGAAAGCGCTGCCTCTGGCCAGGCAGACAGAAAGACATACTGATTTATCGATAACAGCTTAAAGGACGAACAAACGAATATGGAACATAAAAAAATGATATATTCGAATGGGAATTGAAAAGCAAACTCTGTAATGATGAGCGCACGTAAAAAATTATGTAAAATTAAGCGACGACCTATGTTCATTGGCTTCCAAAGGCCAGCAAGTGAGTGTAAAGCCTGGGAAAGTGTCGCGTTTCGACCGACAATACGAGTGGTAATCGCGGTAGCAATCGGTAGGGTTAAGAAACGGCTGTGCGACAAAGACAAAGACAACAGCACGAAGCAGAGACGAAGCATAGACGAAGCAACACGAAGTGGCAGAGGCAGAAGTAGAAGAACAAGAAGAAAAAGAAGAAGAAGAAGAAGCAGCAGCAAAGGTTGCGTTTGTCAAAAAGCAATTTGAAATATTTCTAATACAAAGACACTGAGAGTTGGAAGCTGTTCTCGAGGAACTCTTTCCGGAGGCAGCAGAAATGTATTCGGCGGTGAAGCCACTTTCAAAGTATCTGCAATTTAAGTCCATTAGGATATATGACGCCGTTTTCACCATCCATTCAAAGTGTACGGTTGTTATATTATTGACATGTTCGCTATTGCTATCGGCCCGTCAATATTTCGGTGATCCCATACAGTGCATTAGCGAGGAGAAGAATATCGAATATGTGCAATCCTATTGCTGGACCATGGGCACCTACATTCTAAAATGGGAGAGCTATAGCGAGCGTCAGTTAAAGTTTCCGACAGTGCCGCAGACGCGCGCCGGTCGGCGTCGAATGGCCGACTATAATGAGGCCTATGCGCGTGCTCTCTCCATAGCCGAGGGCGTGGGCCCGGAGGTGCACGGCGTAACGGAGCGCGAATATCTCCGCTACTATCAGTGGGTCATTATATTGTTGCTTTTTCAATCCTTCATCTTCTACTTTCCATCCTGTCTGTGGAAGGTGTGGGAGGGACAGCGACTCAAGCAGCTCTGCTCTGAGGTCGGCGAGGCCCTACTCTCCGAGGAGACCTACAATACCAGACTGCGACTGCTGGTCAAGTACTTTACCACCGACTATGAGGATATGCATCTTTGCTATATGGCCAAATATGTGCTATGTGAGGTCCTCAACTTTCTCATCAGCGTGAGTAGCGATTCCCAGTCGCGCCCATTAAAGTATTAGAACGTTCTCCTCCCACAGGTGTTGAACATCATTGTCTTGGAAGTCTTTCTCAATGGGTTTTGGTCGAAATATATGCACGCGTTGGCGACCATACCTTTCTATGACTGGGATCGCTGGAATCGCGTCTCCTCGCGTGTCTTCCCCAAAATCGCCAAGTGTGAGGTGCTCAAGTATGGATCGAGTGGTACCGCCACCATTATGGACAACCTCTGCATATTACCACTCAACATACTGAACGAGAAGATCTTCGTATTCCTCTGGTGTTGGTTCCTGCTCATGGGCATCATGTCGGGCGTGAACCTCATCTGCCGCTTCATGATGATGCTCAGTAAAAGCCTGCGGGAGCAGATGATACGCAGTCAGTTGAGATTCATGACCAAACGCCATGTACAGCGGGCACTACGAGATCTTACCATTGGCGATTGGTTTCTCCTTATGAAGGTCAGCGTCAATGTGAACCCCATGCTTTTTCGGGATCTCATGCAGGAGTTATGCGAACTACGCACCTCATCCTCCGTCTGCATACTGGAGAGCGCAGTTTGAAACTCTATCGATCATTGAACATCGATTATCGATCACCGCTCATCGACTGATGCCGATTCGATTTACTCTTGTTAGCTTGAATTGTTTATATTTTGTGATTCAATTTGCATTTGAAATGCATTCATATTTTTATATACTATATTTGTAAGGGAACTAGAACTAGTAAGAAATAAAGCCTATACTAACTGAATGAAAGCGACTGAAACTAATTATAAAGGAAGAAGAATTTTAAATGATAGGCTTAGGTATGGAGTAAACTAAATTAATTTTTAATGTAGAATCAAAATGGTCTTGCATTGAAAATAAATGAAATGTAAATTTAATAAATTAGCTTTAAAAAAAAAACTGATTGTAACTATTTTCATTCATCTATTATAGTCAGTATCGGAAAGGAGAAAGGTCAAGTTCGTCCGTCAATCTGTTCGACTGTATGAACACCGAGAGCTTTTTGACCATAACATATAGGAAAACCAAACTTGGCATGTAGACTTGTCTTCTCCATACGCAAAGCAAGTCTGGTAGACTTGTCCCATTTATGCTCAGATCGAGATGATTATAAGCCATACACATAGACTAAATATTTTGACCTGCTGCCATTACACGAATAGGGTAAGTATTTTGTTCTAAAGAACCTTTGGTATTTATATATGTCTCGTCATAATCTGAAGTTTCATCAAAATGCTGGGCATTATATCATATAGCTGTCAAAGGAACGATCAGTGCAAAGATCACACTTAGAAAAAACTTTGTTGTTTATCATTATAAATGGAATATATATATGGTATATATGGTAACCAATTCCGATAGAGTGCGTCACAATATTCTAATGTTTTATCGAAATCCTACATATAGCTGCCAAAACTAATTCTAGTACCAAGAATTTTGTTATTTACAAAGATATCGTAACTAAATTTGGTTTTTCAGTTTTTTACAGTGCCTGGTTACAATCTAAGGTTTTGTCGAAGTCAGTTAACTATAACATATAGCTGCCATAGGAATGATCGTTGTAGAAGCCGAGCTTACTTGTAGTACCAGAAAGTTTTTTTTTTTAAGAAGATATCTTGAAAAAAAATCGGGTATTTATGAGATTTTTTATAGTACCCCAAAATATTCGAAAGTTTCATCAAAATCGGCTCGCTATATCATATAACTGTCATAGGAATTATCGGTGTAGAAATCAAGCTTAGTACCAGAAACTATTTTGTTTTTCAAGATATCTTGACAATATCTGGCATTTATGAGATTTTTTATAGTGAAATCGGCTGACTATAACATACATATAGCTGCCATAGCACAATTGGCACAATTGGATTTACGTTAAATGGCAGTTGCGTGGAAAAGGGTAGTTACAGTGTATTGCAAGATAAAAGCTTTTAAAAAATGTTGAGTAAATTATTAACAATTTTGTTGAGTGTATTTGGTTGGCGAAAAGAAGACGCTCGCTGGTCGCTAGCGTTTCAAGAGCGTTTTGGTGGCGTTTTAGTAGCTTCTTGGTCTTCTTTTTCGTTTCCATTGTTCATAACTAGTTGCTGCTGCTGCCGTTTTTTATTGTTGTTGCTATAATTTCGTCATTTATATTATTGTTTAAGGCCTCCACACCGCCCTCGGGCGTCGGGCCTCGGGCCTCGGCCCATGGGCCAGACACGCGTTGCAGCTTTCGTCGGTGTGTGGTGTGTGTTGGTGTGCGTGTGTGTTGGTGTGGAGTGTTGTGTGGCTAGCATTGTGTTTTGCACACGTTAGCAACGCAACTCGCTTTTTGGCCGCCTGCGTGAAGTCTCATTCGCTCACGCTCACGCACACACACACACACACACACACTCACGCACTGTAAATGTAAATATTATTCAAAAAAAAAGAAAAAAAGATTCGTTGTGGGGGGGCTGGAACGGGGGCCGATGACGAGGTGCGGCGCTGCCGTTTCTTCGGTTACATCTATTTTGTGTATTGTTTTGCTTTGTTGCTGTTTTATTTATTTTTTTTTTTTTGGTTTTGTTTGGCTGTATTTTGATTTTCATTTCATTTTGATTTCGATTTTGTGCCGCGCCGTGCCTTTTAGCCAGTTGTTTGTTAGTCGTGTGTCAACCGGGAAGCCGCCAAGTACCAGCCAGCCAGCTAGTCGGTCGATCGTTCCACGTCGTTCCTCATTCGTTGCGAGTTTCGTGGTTTTTTGTTTTGTTTTGTTTTTTCATTTCTTCAGTTACCGTTTCGATACAATTTTTGTGTATAATTTTTTTTCGATTCAACTGGAAGCGCGCAAACATTTTCACACTATTTGGCATTTAATTAAAAACGCGAACGTGACGTGGTAATGCATAATACTACTGCCAGCAGAGGGCTGGAGTATGAGGTGGAGAAAGGGGCGGGGGGGGGGGGGGGGGTAGGGAGGGTTAATTAGTGATTCTCGTCCCACTGACAATTGCATGCCAAGCTCTCTGCAATCGGCCAGACGACGTGTCTTTTGCAATTGGCAACTGAACTGTGTTGGAACGTCTGTCAGTTGGAGCGCGTCTCGACTGCAAATTTGCTGCATGAATCGCAAGCATTTAACATACAGGCATACCTAGATACATACACACACACTCGTATATACATACATATATGTACTACATACATATATAGCTGTAGTTACATTTTTATAATGCAGCTACTAAGGTCGCGCAGCCATTACACATGCCTGTCTGTTCCACAAACAACAAACAAATCAGGCAAACAAACACACACACACACACACATAATCGTACAAATATTTATATACAAAGATATTACATGTATATAAGTATATTTAGTGTGTATGTACGTGGCTATATAAGCGACGGTACACGCTAGATAGGCGCAGGAACAGCCACGGGCATTGATAAAGCCACCAGCAAAGTGCACAAAGTGTAAAACATTAACATGGCACAGTGGTGCGAAAGTGGCCAAGAATGCGTTAAATGGCAGCTGGTGGGAGGCTACTACTTCCCCAGCCAAGTACTTGCATTTTATTTATTTGTTCATATTATATGAAAACGGCAAGATAAAGTTCCCCAACTAAGCGGATCTTCTCAACTATTGCTCCGATTTCGACCGGAACCTCAGAATATAGAATACATACATATAGTGCATACAAATTTAAATTAGAATAGCATATCATAAAATCACAATTTTTGGTACAAAAACCAAGCGTTTTACCATAACAGGTATACGATTTATTGTTCCTATTTCGCAAAAACTTCAAGCTGTAGTAACAAATTATATGATAATAAATACCATATTGATTACATTACCATAAAAAAAAAATAAGTTAAAACGAATCTAACAAGTTAGTTTCTATGACAGCTATAAGATATAGTGCACCCATTTCGATGAAACTTAAGATTTTCGTTAAAGGCTGCGAAAAATTGATAGACCTTCAATTTTATAATGAAAAGTTTATGAAAAGAAAGATTTTTGTAAAGTTGTTTCGTATGTTTTCTATACAGTGTATTGATACAATGTGAAATTATCCAAAACTGAAAGCTACCAAATCTAGTTACGATATTATAATAAAGAACACAGCTGTAAGTTCCAACCTTCCTTCCCATAATATAGCTGATATTAATTAATGTGGCTTTATATGTTTCGAAATAAAATTGGTCAGAATATGGATAACACAAGTCAACATATTCAGTTTTGCGTTCCTAGTTGTTATGAAGCGAAAGCTGCAGTCAAACAAAGGGAAAGACGTATATTTATTTGCCTTTTTTTTTTTTATAAATATCCAGGGTTTTCAAAGCTAGATATGTGTTGCACATTTTTGCTTCAATTATAAAATATAATAATGATTAGGTGCCCTTTTAATGAAATTAAATTCAAATTTTTCCAAGAGTTTTATTAAAATATGTTTATCTCCAAAAACAGTAACAAGGCTTGGAGGCTTTAAGCAATAGCGTCAGCGATTCAAAAGTTTTTAATATTCACATAAATTTGTAATATTCTATATAAACTCGTATATACCATATATTATATAAATACTAGACATCGAAATTGTTAGCTGCACTTAATTCATGCTGTTCTGCAAGTGTTTCCAATATTAAAACGATTTGCAAAATCAAATATCGATTTCGCAAAAATTGCTTGAATTCGGAAACGCGAAAAGGCGCTATTTTCTCTTATTTTTATAGCTTGAAATTGGCAAAAACAAATGCAAATTGTTAATCAGAGAAGTCTGTCCTAAAATTTAAAGCATTTTTGGTTCCAACTTTTGCGTTTTCTTTTTCTCTAATACCCAATAGTTGTGTTAAAGTTTTTCGAAGTGAAATTCAGTGAAAATGACTCACAACTTGTGATATCTGAGCATTCAAAGTAGGTGTGAGTGGGAAATAATCAGTGCTCGGTAGACTATAATCCATTTATCTAGCTTAGCGATAATGTTTGTGGCTGTTGCTGATTATCTTTTTTCTTCTTCGTTTTGTCATCTACACTTTGTTTTTTATTGAAGAACTGACGGTATGCGCACCACGGTGCATAGAAGAGCTTGATGGTGGTGAGTGGGAGTGGGAGAGGGTGGTGGGGGGGGGGGTGTGGGGTGGGAAATGCGATTACGCGAGCAACAACAACAATTGAGCGCAATGACGGCGACGCTTATGCGGTTGGTAGCATTCGACGCTTTAGTTGGCCGCCTGTCGGCCGCAAAACCAAGTCAAGAAGTGGCGGAGAAGTCTATTGATTTTCCACCAAAAACTACAACAAAAAGGAAAAGCAATACCAAAGAAAATCCCCACCAAAAAAACATACAAAAAATATATCTAAAGCCAGAAAGAAGAGAGAAAGAGTCCAAAAAGAAACGAAGAAGAGAGCTTATCAGCAGCCGGCAGATAAGAACACGTCGTTGTCGATGACGGCGTTCCGACGACGCGACGCTCTCAAGAAGGTGTTGGCAAGGTGTTATTACCTTTGTTGTTGTTGTTGCTGTCGTTGGTATTATTGTTATTGCTGTTGTCAGTGGTAGTGAGAATCACAATCACAATCGCAATCGCAAACACAATCGGGGGCTAAATATTTTTCAGTTGGCAGTGTCAAGT